TGGCCTATCTATATCAAAGCTCTCTCAACCTTTTCTACCAGAATTGGGTAAGATCAAATACAATTAGAAATAATTTTTGGAATTCATTAAAATATCAGTAAAATCTTGCAGAATATTACATCTCTCTTGTTTGAAAATGAATATTGAAATTCAGACAAGGAGTCAATAACTTACAGGTACATAATTAACAGACTATAAACAATCAACAGCCATATAGTAAAGAGAAAGTCTAGAAAGCAGCTATAAAACTCACTAACCTACAGAATTAGAGAGGTTACCTTAGTCCTTCCTTCGGTGCTGATACGCCAAAACAAAGGTACTGGTTCATCAATCTCTTATCAGATATTTGATTTAAACAAGATGGCCCTGCAATATCACTCCGAACGTAGTCACATTTTTGTTTATCCGAGCATTCGGGTGAGGATATTGATGATTTAGGGAATGAACTAGAAAACAAAAGACGTGGAATAGCAAGATCTGGCATAACACCCTGCACTAATATTCCTGAAGCAAATTTCTTCTTTGCATTTGGACTTGGAAGGTTGCTTCTTAAAGAAACCGTTTGCTTGTTGTTAGGAAGGGATGCGAATCTTTGTCGGAGTGGGATTGGATTTTCATCTGAATTTCCATCTACCATTTTCTTGGGCATCTTGTTCTTTCTTTCTTTGATCCTGGGCCAATGGAGCAGGCGTTTCAAACGTTCTGCTGCGTAATTTATAGAAGCTAGTTTTTTGTAATTTGAATTTGATTCATTACAGTCTTCTATGGTTGAGTCACTGGTGTCTGATGCATTCTCAATCCCTGTGTACAAGAATATTTTTGAATCGGAGATTCTGAAAGAAGTTCCAGGACTCCCCATACTTCTCATCCTTAAGTGGGAAGCAATGGTTCTGCTTGCTGTATAGTCCTGACCATAGGAGATTCCTCCAGCTGAAATTAACTGTCTGGTTAGTATGTCAGATGATGCAGAACGTGGATGCTTCCGGAGGAGATCAAGTGGGGTTATGCCATTTGAATCGCAATCGTTCATATCAATTGAACGGACACTCATTATTTGCTCGACTAAATCAGAATGAATATTCCCAATGATGGCCAGATGAAGAGCAGTTCTACCATCGTTGTTTTTGGCATTTATGATGTCTTCGGTGTCGAACAATTTTCCACATACTAACTGCTTCATGAGTTCAATTTGTCGATCCAATCTTCTGAAACTAGGAGTTTGAAAACCAGACACCGCCATATGTAGGAAAGTTTCTCCGTCTTTGTTTGTTTTATAGATGGATGAGGGAGATGCAAGAATTAGAGCTTCAACCACGGCTAATTGGCCTCTGTAGGAAGCTACATGCAATGCTGTGTTGCCAAACTTGTCTGTGGAGTTGATGATATCGAAGGATGCTATAAGATCTTTCACTACCTGAACAAATAACAAGGTTGGCTATGAAGTTCTAAAACCAAGCTACTGCAAACCATTGAAATTGTGATGTATTATTCTTCTTCCTTCAGTAGAATTACCAATGAGCAGCCTATTTGTTCCTTAATTTTTAGTGTACAATCTTACAAAATTGTGCAAGTCTATAGGTATCAATGCTATATGTACGTTGGCTGATCCTAGTACAACTACAGTTGCAAACAATTTGTGGCTCCTAGGATCGTTTCAAGAACCATTTCATATGAAGAATTCATGCATTTTCACAACTCCAACTCGACTGACAATTAGCACATATATGATGTCAAGCAGAACACTTGGTAGATGCCATCGTGCAAAATAAAATTGTAGCTAGAAAGGCAAATCAACAGTTGGATATTTGCTGTAATTGGCTTCTTCCAATACTACTACATGCGGTAGAGTAGACCAAAATCTTTTCACTCAGAAAACATGGAAGTGTAATCATAGCAAAATTTAAGAAAAGAAATAGATAAGAAAAAACTAAAATTGGATGAAAGATCATGACTTTTTATTTTCCTTTCCTATCTACAATTTCATAGTGCTGGCTATTGGGTATACAATGCATACAACTAGCTGACATAAATCATTGTAGGCTAAAACATAGTGATTTGACCATCCAAACAAAAACAAAGAAATTGAAATTCAAAGCTAAATAGCAAGATCCTCACCTTAACTTGACCTCTGCCAGCTACGACATGTAAGACAGTTGAACCCCGAGTATCTCTATAAGCCGAAACATCAAAGCAATCACCAAGAAGCACTTTCAAAATCTTCAAATTGCCTTCTCTTGTAGCAGCATGAACAGCTCTATTCACCATATCCCACTTATAATCACAAGGGATCTCCCCAATATGCTCCTCCAACTCTCCCCCATCGCCTGCCAAAAACCTCGGTGACGCTGCAAAATCAAAAAGAAGCCTAAAAACCTCACAATTCTTACTCCTGGCAGCAGCATAAAGTATATCAGTCACACCATACTCTCCTTCCCCAACAACTAGTAGAGGGTTTTTTTCAAGCAGGTCTCGGGCAAAGCCCAAGTCTCTAGCTGAGGCAGCAGTGTAGAGAAGCCAGCCACCGTGCCTAGGTCGGATGAGGGAATTTTTCCCTCTCTTGCTTTCACACTTGAAAAAGAGCTTCTGGGCAACCCGAGAACGACACTTGACGACATCATCAAACTGTTCTTCGTCATCCCAGACAGTCTCAAGGCGGCGAATTCGCCTAAGAGAGGTGAGTTTGATAAGGTGATTGGCATCTAGGCGAATGAGCTCACCAAGTCATAGTGGCCATTGGCAGCTGCCCAATCAAGTGGGGAAGCAAACCACCATTGGTCCCCAGTGCTTTCCCACCGGAGAGGAAAGTATGAAGGAGACATTGGCAATTGCAACTTGAGATCAGCCTAATACAATTATAAACTCGCCACTGATGTTTTTGGCCAAGTTAATCCTAACCCTTTTCAGATACAATTCAACTCAATTACTTTGAATTGGTTCTGAATCCAAACCCTAAGGCAATGTGGACAATTGCAACAAGAAAAATACCCTGCTAAAATCCATGATTTGAGGCAATTAATTTAAGGGTAAAGCACACAAAAACATTATTATTGACAGAAGTATAATCACAACCCTAATCAGTTCAGAAGCAAGTTTTCCGGGGAAAAAAAGGAAGGACAAGAAAAATCAGGATTTGTGAGAATCTTAAGTAAAGAAAAAGAAGAAATACCCTTTTGGAGAGATTATGAACACCTTTAAAAGCTTGCGAAACAAAGAGAATCCACTAGTGATGATGCCAAGAACACAGAGAGGATCAGAGGAATAAGTAATTGTAGTATCATTCAAGTATATGATATGAGAGAGAGAGAGAGAGAGAGAGAGAGGTATGAAGCCATCATTAGTCACAGGAAGCAAAACCCAGAAAAGGGAAGATGCCTTAATACAAGGAAAAGTTAGAAATGAGTGGAAAATATGTTCGCAATGACAAAAGAAAAGGTTATAAACTTTAAATTCTTTATCAAATAAATATGAATATACGAATGCGTGGTCTACATTTTTGTGAGATTCACACCTTTTAATTATTTATTTACCAAAAATTTGGTATCTCTAATATGGGTTCTGTTTAAGTGTGTAACCCCCTTAAGGTTGCACACCATATGCAACCCAATTGTTAGCCGTTAGATTACAATAATTGATCAAGACCATTGAATTGTTTAATTGTGAAAAAGTTGAAACCGGGGCAACCGGTTAATGCTTGTATTTGCATGATTGTATCCCACTCACTCTCTGTATTTCGTCCCTATCTCTCTCTGTTCTCCTCTCTGTGTAAGGTTGGGTCAGTGTAACTGTTGATTTCCATTAACAGCGAGAAGCCCTTGCCGGGTTCGTTCCATTGACGAAGCTCTGTAGGGAACAGTATAACGGGCGATTTCCAACAACAACGTAACTACAAGCCTGTGTTGGTTCCATTGCTGAAGCGAAGCCCTTCTCTCCAACTAGATATGGGATATGGAGCTGTCTCCCTCTCTCTGTCTCCCTTTTTGTCTCTATGGCCTCTTCACTTCAGCTATTTTTCGTCAACTAAACCCCCATCCTAACTTCAACCGCTCTACGCTTCGCTCAAATGGAAACCCCTCCATTGGCAACTAACCTTTCTCTTTCTCAAGCGAGTGTTTGTGTTTGCACAAACAACTAAACCGTGTGAAAAATGTCATGTTTGTGTTTGTGTTAACTAGGGGTGTTCGCGGATCGGTTTTGTGCGGTTTGCGGTTCGGTTTTGACCCGCCCGCATCTATGCGGTTTGGGAAAAAGTCAACCCGCAACCGCCCGCAGTGCGGTTTGCGGTTTGTGCGGATAGGGTTTGCAAATGTGCGGGCGGTTGCGGGCGGTTTGCGGTTTACACTTTTTTCTTTAAAAATTAATTTTCGAGTTTTTTTTCCCAGCGAATTTAGGCATCAGATTCTTTTTATATATTTGTGATAACAATTTTTTGATGAGTTTACAAATAAAAATTGAATATCAATGCATTAAATTAAAGTACCCAAAACAAAGAGACCCTACACTAGCATTTTTGCTATGAAAAAAATGTATATCAATGCATTAAAGGTTGTACTCAATTAGAATTGTCAGTTCAGTAATCAATAATCAAACTATAAGTTCTATCGACCATTAGAAGAAAAATTTTATTAGGAAAAAGTGGATGAATCACCAATGAAAATCATATAAGAAACCAAGTTTAGGACTTGATAATTCTACGGCATTAAGAAAGTTGAGAAATACTTAAAAATAAGGATCCTAGTGTCATAGAGAATATAATGGTGCTCCTGTAAAAGTTACAAAGTTAGTATATAAAAAAAAAATAATAATAATAATTAAAGTGCGGGCGGTTTTTGCGGTTTGCGGGTTTAAACCGTGATCCGCCCGCAACCCGCAAATTTGTCATATTTCAAACCGCATCCGCCCGCATTATGTTTGCGAAACCGCCCACTTATATGCGGGTTGGGCGGATTGGGCGGTTTGAGCGGTTCGGATAAACCGTTGCCCACCCTTAACATTTTACAGTCATGTGCAGTATGGCCCGAGCGGAAGTTAAAAGGGAAGGTGATGATTGTGACATTCCAAATGAAGCAGATGACATTCGTTTGATGAGTGAAAGTCGGGTGGAACCTTATCATGGTTGCGAAGCTGGTCCGAGCAATGAAGAAGCAACCAACATGAACGTTGAAGCTGGCGGAGCTGATGTGAAAAAAGAAATGGTTGACGATGCTCATGGCACATGGTTGGTGATGTTGAACGTGCTATTCTGGAACAGAAATTTGATTCGGTCGAAGATGGAGAAGCTTTCTACAATGTGTATGCTAAAGCCAAGGGATTTAGTATACGAAAATTCAGATTTAACACAAATAAAGAGGGAAAGGTTGTTTGTAGGCTGTGGTTGTGTTCAAGGGAAGGTCAGAGATTACCAATATACTTGGATCGTGTTGCTGAGAAGAGTAGAGCTCCCAAGGCACTAACAAGAGTAGGTTTCAAAGCCCAATTTCGCATACGGTACGATACAGATGCTAGTGAAGGGGGAAAGTATGTTGTGACTCACTTCGTCGCAGACCACAACCATGAATTGGCAGAACAACACTGTGTGATGTATCTGAGGTCACATCGCAGTTTAAACAGCGCTGACAAAGCTCAAGCAATGGCTATGCGCAACGTCGGTGTGAGGACTAGCCAAATCATGGACTATATGGTAAATCAATCCGGGTCTTATGAGAATGTTGGTTTCGTCCGTACGAATCTGCATAACCATATTCAAGCCGAACGTAGAGCACAAGTTGAAGATGGTGATGCGCAGGGTGCGTTGGTTTACCTATGTGCAAAACTTGATGTTGATGCACGTTTTTTTTACAAGTATGATGTGTGTAACGATAACAAGTTACAAAATCTGTTCTGGGCAGATTCAAAATCGCAGGCCGACTACGCAAAGTTTGGTGATGTGTTGATATTTGACTCAACTTACAGAACCAATGCATACAAGAAGCCTTTTGTCATGTCGGCTGGTGTGACTAGCCACTTTAGGACCACGATATTTGCATGTGTTTTGCTAGCTAATGAGACAATTGAGACATACACATGGATTTTGGAAACATTTATGGAGGCGATGGGCAATGAAGCACCTGTGTCCGTACTGACAGATGGGGATAAGGCGATGCGAGAGGCAATTAGAAGAGTATTTCCAGACGCAAGACATCGATTATGTAATTGGCATCTTGGGAAAAATGCTGTTTCAAATGTTCACATAAGTGGCTTTGCACATGCTTTCAAGCAGTGTATGGACATGGAAACGGATGAGACAAAGTTTGAGCATGGCTAGACGACAATGGTTGAAAATTTTGGACTTTAAACCAACAGTTGGCTGTTGGAGACATATGAAAAGCGTCATATGTGGGCTGAGGCATATATGCATGGACATTTCTTTGCTGGGATGAAGAGCACTCAGTGCTCGGAGTGTATGAATGCTTATTTCAATCCCTTCCTCCAACACAAATTGAAGCTATATGAATTTGTTAGGCACTATGATCGGGCTCTTGCAAGGATAAGGTATAACGAGGCTGGAGATGATGCTGAAACAAATAACACTTTTTTGGTATTGATTGCTCCATTGCGAGATATAGAGTGACATGGAGCTGAGCTATTCACCTGAAATATATTTAGAATGTTCCGTGATGAAATCTTAGAAAAGGGGAAGTTGAATGTCAAGGACGTGTTCCCTTTGCCGGATGGTCAGAAATGCTACTATATTCATAAGTACAAAGTGAAGGACAGGTCATGGATAGTAACACACAGTCTAGTGGATGCTGCAATGAGATGTTCTTGCATGAAGTTTGAGTTGTTGGGGCTACCTTGCTGTCACATGATATGTGTTATGAAAGCCGAAAATTTAAAGCAAATTCCCCCAACTTGTGTGCTGCATAGATGGACAAGGGCTGCAAGCAAGGATGGCCAGCAATGGCCTCAACCCTCAATTGGTAGCACTCCAACACAGATGGCCCGGTATGGGATTTTGAGTTCTTCCTACAACGAAATGTGTTTCTATGTCTCGCAATCAACGGAAGGTTTCAAAGAGGCTAGGGATGCATGTCTTCCGATGACGAGCCGGATGAAGGAGTTATATGAGAGGAATCTGAACGATGGGAATGGAGACAAAGGGAAACATTCATTCCCTCGACAATTTGGAGTAGAAGATCCTGATGTTGTGAAGACAAAAGGGAATCCGGGACGGGCCTCGTCCAACTGTCGAAGACTAAGAAAATGTGGGAATTGCAAATGCATTGGGCACACAAAGCGAACGTGTCCTAAGGTTCGGTTTAGCCGAACAGTGGGTACTAACTCAGATGCAGATACACCCCACATAACTGACCGTGAGTACAATGCAGAGTCATTGCCCGTTCGCTGCAAAACTAGGTTGGTGGATCCAAATACACCGCACATTAAGCAGCGGCGACTATTTTTTGATGCTTCTCCTGATTCCAAGCAGCCTGCGGGCCAATACGGTAGTGTTGAAGCAGCAGTGTGCAAAAATGATTCGACCACAATTGATGAGGTGAATCAGGTAATTGTATAATTTGTATGATTTACTTATTCTCTTAATTTATTAGGTAGACAGTACTAGCTATTGAAAACACATGGAAATAATGTATGTAGTTTTCATTTTGCACGAATTCCTGCACGTAACGTGTAAATCATTGGTTACGTACAATGCTAGGAAGTGGCACAACGTTACCTATGTACAAGGCCACGAGTTGTAAATTTCCCATATTGTTTAGAGTGATGTTGTCATTTGTGTTTGCAGTGACTTGTCATTTTGAAAACTAATTGAAGGTGAGATATATATGGGTTGTCTGTATTGTTTTGGGTAGGAAATTGGCTTATGTCTGTGTTCCAAGATTCCTATTGCGGGTTGCTTGTTTGTGTTCCATATTTGGTTGGATCGAACTGAAGGGTTTTTTGCGGTGTGGTTTATCAACTAACGATGTGTTTGGCTTCGTATTGATGTGGTATGACTTGTTTCGGTAAATTAGCATTATATTTCGAGTAAAATACGAATTTATCCATGTGGGTTTGCAAAATTACATACCAGCACATGCATTTTGTATATAATCTAAGTGGCAGTTAATTTTGGGTGTTACTTGGAGAAAGTAACCCAACAAACTCGTTACTTTATCTCCATGCCGATTGCTATATGAATCACGAGTTACGAACAAAAGTTGTGAAATTATTTCATGTTAACTATGAAAGTATGTGTTTATTGTTAGTAAAATTATGGTGGGCCTATATCGATAGCAACGAAGCAGTAATTTAAAGTTGACAAGTTGAAGAAGAAAATCAAGCAATTGTGGTATTGGTGCGAATGCCTGAAAAGGATGAAGACTTCTTTCGATGAACTGATGGTAACAAAGTAGAAAGTACAAAGTAAGTTGTGTTGTTGGTAACAAAGTAGAAAGTAGAAGGGAAAAAACTACTCAGAAGTTGCAATGTAGAAAGTAAGTTGTGTTGTTGTTCATGTCCTCTCTCTCTGCAAACATTCTGCCCTTTATAGCTATTATTTCCCACGACCCCATGATCTGCCGATTCTGCAACTGCTTCTGTGCAACTTTTGTACCTGCATGGTCATTTCCGTGTCTTCAAATCACATAAAACCTTCACTTGTACCTGTCGAAGTGCATATAATTGAAGTTGCCACCTGTGCCAAAGTCCTTTTAGTCTTTCCTCGACAGATACAGACTCCCAATTTGTTCATGTTTCCTCTTGGAGGCTGGCCACTAAATCCATGAGCACTACCAGTAACTGCTCCAGTGTGTAAGTCAGGTGGCATGCAAGATTCAACGTTAGTTGAATGGAGCAGCTGTTGGGAGGATGTGGGAAAAATAGGTGCAAAGAGGAATTTTTAATCTAATATCCAATAATAATTTAGCTGAAAATATGAGTGAAATTTTTTTAAAAAATAAGTAGTTTCGGTTTTTTTGATTACAAACCCGAGATGTATATTTTGTTTTTGATGTAAATAAGTTGTGTACTTTCGTTACGTAAAATGTAGGACAACAATTGTGTTTAAGTCATTACAATGCAGAAAAAGGTTATTTCAAACATAATTTCAAGTTTACTGACATTGAATATATTTTGATTAAATTACAGGGGAAATTAATATTTGGCAGAGTCTGATAATTCAAAGTCAGGGCAGTAACAGTGAGTGGCCAAGTGTTGTGGTTCAGTGGCCCAGTTTGCAAGGATTGTGGTTGTGTTTAGTGGACAATATTCTATCGATTTTTGTCTCATAATGATGAGGGACATGCCCCACAATGGTGAAAAGGAAGGTCGACAGGGAAGAGTCAATATTTGGCAGAGTGGACTTGAAAATTCGAAGTCAGGGGGTAGTTACAGTGGCAGTTATGGTGTAGACGTGTGGGATCATGCAATGATGGGCCACAAAAATAGTATACGGATATCGAAACCAACGATCTCCCTTCTAGGCTTTCCAAGTATACTAAACCTCCACTTCTATTTGTCGATCTCCCTTTTCTTGTGTTTATTTCATGGCCACCAACTGTTTGAAACTTCTATCGACAGAGCAAGGCTCCAGCTTTGTCTCATGCTTCCTCCTGAAAGTGTGCCCACTAACTCATAATGATGAGGGACATGCCCCCACAATGGTGAAAAGGAAGGTCAATGGGGAAGAGTCAATATTTGGCAGAGGGGACTTGAAGATTCGAAGTCAGGGGCAGTTACAGTGGCAGTTATGGTGTAGACGTGTGGCATCAAGCAATGATGGGCCACAAAAACAGTATACGGATATCGAAACCAACGATCTCCCTTCTAAGCTTTCCAAGTATAATAAACCTCCACTTCTATCTGTCGATCTCCCTTTTCTTGTGTTTATTTCATGGCCAGAAGTTGTTTTAAACTTCTGTCGACAGAGGAAGGCTCCTGCTTTGTCTCATGCTTCCTCCTGAAAGTGTGCCCACTAACTCCATGACTGGTGCTAAAAACTTCCCCCATTACTTCTAGGTGACCCACATGCAGAGAGCCCACTTTGAAGTGGTGGACATTCCTTCAGACTTGGCCACGTGTCCTCGATTAAGTGGACCATCTGTCGATAGAGACTGGCAAAACTTGGTGCAAAGAATGGCCCCCTTGTTCAAGTTAAATATCATATGAATTAACCTTGTGGAAGTGATTGGGACCCCCTCCAATCACCACCTGCACCCCCCCTCCCCACACACACACGTGGGGGTTGGTGATTGGAGGAGAAAGAAAAAAAAAAAGAAGAAATTTATTTTTTTAAAAACTGGCCAATCAGAGAGAGAGGGGTCATGGGGGTGCCCTCTTGTGGGGGTCCAAGTCATATGATATTTAACTTCAACAAGGGGGCCATTGTTTGGGCCCAATAGCAAATTTATTAGTACGGGCCCCATCATAAGCTATAAAAGACCCACCCTTTCAACTTCGAACCACTTCATTTCCCTCTGATTCGAACTCCCTAGACTGTACTCCTTCTTCTCAAGCATTGCCGTTCAAAACCCGAGCACCACAAAACCCTAAGCCATGGCGCCGAAAAAATCTCAACCATCACCATCTGAGGAGAACAATGAAGACCTACTCCGCTTCCCAGACCCTATCAGAGCACGTATCGGTCCTCTAAAATTTGGTGCAACCCTATTGCCCAACACAAGCTCTGTCGCTAGGGCTACTCTAGGCCCTACCTTCGCGTCTTACTTCCCAGACGAGCTAGCTCCATACTATCCCCTTGGTAATGGTGAGAACCTTCTTCTCAACCAAACTGGACTTAAGTGAACTAACTGGAATGTTAGCAAAAACCCACTCAGATCGTGGAGGTCACCAGACTCTGTTTGGCGAAGCTGGGCCAGGAGAATTGAAGGTCACGACGGTGAAGTATGGAAGCACCAGGGCATTAGTGAAGCAATTAGACTATCGACTAAAAATTATGACATGGACAAAGGGCTGATTGCTGCTGCTGCATGCTTCTGGTCGCAATCTTGTAACTCCTTACTCCTCAATTTGGGTATGATTTCCCCTACCATCTTAGATGTAGCTCACTTGACTGGTCTCCCAATCTTGGGCAATCCAATTCATGCTCTCCTTGAGCCTCCAAAAGTGAGCTTTACTTTAAACACTGACATGTGCTATACAGATTTCGCCCAAAAATACAAAGGCAAGCCTGGTTTCCTTGTCCACAACAAAGAAAGAACTGCTTTTTACTTACTTTGGCTTTGTGAGTTTCTTTTTTGTGTCCCTGGGTACAAGATCACGAAGAGTACCTCCCCCTTGCCTTATGTATGCAAGATGGCCAACTTATGGCTTTAGCCCCTTATCTTCTTGCCACCCTTTACAAGGCCCTATTTTCCTTTGTCCACAAGAAGATTTCTGGCAACTGTGGTGGCCCCTTCTGGCTTTTCCAGGCCTGGTTGTATGCCTATTTCCCTGAGGCACGACCCCCACCACCTAACACCTTGAAACCTGTTTTCTACTCCTATGCTGAGCAACTGCTCACTTATAATAGCCAACCCATCCTCACTTTCAGAAATCACCTTACCATGTTTTACAACCTTCCTTCGAAGAGACCTTCCAACCTGTACATGCCATTTCAAAACTTTGAATTCT